CTCCCCCCCCCCCCGCGCTGCTCCAATGGCACAGGCATCAATGCTGCAAAAAGCCCGGGTCTAAAACTAAAATAGACTAAAGCCTAAAGTACTCTAGGTAGCCAATGTCACAACTCTATTCCTAGTTTTGGCGTGATTCCGGAGTGAGAGGGCCTCCCAACCTACTGTCGCCCCCTCCCCCCACTCGCAGGAGTCCATACCGGATCAGCCTACGAGCCTAGTATAAGCGATTAGTAAGCGCTTGAGGCAAATTCATAGAGGAGTGTGAAGTGAACTGGAGTGTTGAAGGGAAAAAGTTGAGAAAGATGGAGGTAAGAAGTTCGGTGAGAATAGCATGATTTCGGTTCAGGCGCATCTTAGTAGCGCTGATTGCTGAGTTTTATCGGCCAGGATTTCGAGACCAAATTTGGCCACGGGATTTTCAACGTTTACTATGAAATGTTAAAAATATTTAGCAGAGGAAGCAAATTCAATTTATCATTAATAAACAAATATTTTCACTTTACAATAGATTTAATGGGAGGAAAAAACGGAAGATTTAACAACAGAAAACGAACACAACATGAAAAATAAAGCTGAGAATCCAAATTGCCACCGAATGTCGTGTTTTATTTTAATTGGCACTTGCGGAACTTATTGATGATACATAAGTAATAATAAAAAAAGGTCGAGCAAAAATTTTTCCACGAAATGAAAAAATAAAAAAAAAAGAAGCAACGAAATAGAACACCCGTCTCACTTTCATAATCATAATCACGATTATCGCCGTCACCATGATATTCATGGGTGCCTCTATTACAAACGTGATTATGAGTACCTGTGACTGCTATTATGTGCAGTTACAGCTAGCTAATATCCTAATAATCGTGGTAATCTAAACATGATTGTTGTGGCGACTAGTTTATATCACGCACTGGATTATGGTTTCCAAAAACCGTGATTTTCTAGTAAAGTCCAAGAGGTGGGAAAAATGTACTGGACAAAAGTTGCGTATTGGCTATTAGCCCTCAGGTGACCGAGGCTTACCGTAGCTCTGCCTGAGATGTGAGAGCATCCCGGGATCTCAGCACGAGTTGTATCCCTATTGATATCCGGAGTACTGTCCCTCAGCACACCATGAACTTGACATTAACGGAAAACTTATATGAGAAAGCGTCAGTACATCAAAATTACCTCGATTTCTACAAGAGCAACTTACACATGTTGAGTTGAGCGAATGGCACGAAGTTCGGGAAGATAAAAGGAAAAATATGGGGTAAATAGAGTCAAGCGGTGTGGCTTGGAGGTACCACTGAATTCTTAATCTTGCAGTGTAGGAGGAATTCGTTTCGGAGTGAAACCAGGCAAAGCATTCTATAAATATACATAATAACGAACTAAAAAAATTACATTAGATGAAAGGCAAAAATATCGCTGTAGAATTAGCAATGGTACTTCATTTTTCCCGTTTTTTTCTGACAAGTTTCGTAAAATGTACACACACACTGCAATCAGCAAGCAACTTCTACAACTCGATTTCGATCATCTCTGAAGGGCTACAAGCAGCTGTAGTTAAATATTTCATTCCTAGGTCCACTTGCATTCATCATGGGTCACAATTTTTCGTTCCGGCCAGATCTGCTGCGCAGGAAGAGGGTGATTGTAATAGCAAACAGGATGGCGTTCAGCGACGTGGTTAGTGCGGCTACCAGAAAGTAGTAGATGGATGGGACAAGCTGAACCGATGGGTCCGGACAGTGCGGGAGATGCTCGACGATGTGTAGCTGTGGCGTGAAAACATCCATGGTTCGGGAATCAAGCGTGGATCGTGCCCGGCGCAGCTCGTTGTGCTGTGCATGTGCATGTTCATCTACATCGTTGTGAGCTGTTGCTAGTTCCGGACAATTAGGCGGTGTCAGACCAACACAACCGGCATCGTATTTCAGACATAATGTTATCTGCAATAAATCCACGTGTTACGAACAATAACTGCGATTTTTGTTGGTTGTTTTCTGCAACTTATAATCTATTTTTAACTTTTTTTTACAAATTGTTCCTTTTTTTTCTTCACTTTTATTAGTTTTTATTAGTTTTCAGCAGCTTCTTTTTCCCCTCTCATTTTTCTCTAACTTTAAATAACAACACCACAACCGTCGTACGGATGAAGTCCAGGTGTGGTACTGAAAATGATGTATACGACCTCGTGAGTCGAAACATTTCTATACTATTACATTTTTCCACTTCCTTTGCATAAATAACTTTTTAAAGATTATTCAATTCTTTTCCACTTACCACTCTTTCTAATTATTAAAGATTTGTTAACTTTTTGCAATCTTTACTGTTCCTGTATTTGTGAAAAGAAAACTGTTTCAGAACACAAAAAATGATAAAGATTTAAGGGCCGGAAAACTTGAATTTTTCTTATGACAATAACTCTGTCCGTTTCTTACAATAATATTAGCATGTATATTTTTAATTTTATTAAATTTGACAAGGGAACTTTGGGAATAGTAAATAATCACGACCTTGCAAATGATAATTTCAACT